CTCAACCATAACAAACAAAAACAAACAAAAACCAACAAAAATCAAGCCCAAGCGTTATCTACTCAGAGAATCAAAATCTGAAAGAAGTGCTCAGATTGAAACCCCAGACGAGCATATGAGACTAACCAATGAAAACAAATGTGACCGACCTGAGAACCAGGAGGCAGTCAAGGAACAGAACTAACGATATAATTGAACTGGGCCAGGTAGCAAGTAACGATTGCGCTATGCATGACAGAAAGAGATTGTGACGATACTAGCTCTCCCTGCTTCTTTAAGTAATCATCAACCTGTAAAGGATAGCTGTCACTGTTGCCCTGAAGCCATCTTGCAATGCCCTCAACAAGCACCCGCATCAGCCGGCTGTGATGCCCTTCGCCACACAAAGGGGTCATAGGGACTTACCAAAGCTTCGAGACACGGGTATACCGGCCGCCCACGTGGAATTGGTAAGCTGGGTCCATGTTGAAGGCAACTGCAATCAGTCCACAAGCCAACAGCAACGACTACCCTGTACTCGACTGAGTAGAAAGACGCGAAGTTTAAGGGACGTCACAGTAGTATCTCATCGCTGTTTGCTGTATATGAGTAGAGCGCAAGCTACTGCTATTAAGACCAGTACTTCTTCAGTTGGATAGGTTGTATAGTTACGAATCTAATAGCCTTCTGATCCTCAGTGGCACCTCGAGTCCATATAAGTATAACAAAGTGTTACACGGACATGAGTCACATAGTATCGGCGAGTGAAGTACCGTTCACTTAAAGGGAGAGGCAAAACATATGCCGAATCAGAAAGGATGCTACTGGATACTACATGAGAAACATCAACATCAACGCGATGGCAGTAGATGGAATGTATGTTGACGCCAACCATTGTGACGACCGTTCTCTCACTGATGGTTCCAGCAAGGGAATATACCAAACCACTAGTATGCGACCAACCGCCATAGTTTTGCGACCATCCTTTAATCGCGGAAGTTATAACCAAGTGATAATACTGAGTGACCAAGATGAGCTGTAACAGCGTATGAATTATAAGCACATTGGACTAGCCAACGAGGTACTAATCAAATATCTTGGATTCTTAAGACCTCGAAAATGTTGATTTTCTTTAGCTTTTTGCGGAAGTGTATTGAGTTTTCACAAGAAAGTAAACTTTGCGGCAATAAGCGCAACCATCTGGCAATGCGAAAAAAGAATGAGTGAAAAATAGTATTGAAACAATTTCTATGTAATCTTCTATGATGAATATTGTACCCGTTTACACTCCTTCTGTAAGGCCGAAAAATCCAATACTTGCTCGCTCGTAGTTTGACTTCTCTTTTGATGACCCGAAAGCCGAAAACTAAGTCACAGAATACTCGTCTATATTTCAGACTTTCCATGTTCAAGATGGTTAGTCTATCTCTATAAGGCGGCATGGCCTGAGGGTAGCTAGGGTTAGGGAATGATCTGTAAAAAACCAGTCTTGTGAAAATTTTCTGAACTCTCTCCAAACAGTATACGTGTTTTTTCTTATACGGATTCCACACTGGTGAGGCATATTCCAAAAGCGGTAGTATGAAAGTTTTATACAATCTGACTAGGAACGATGGTTCATTGCAATGGACATTTCTCAAAACTCTGAAGAGCGATGTAAGAGCCTTTCTTGCAACCATGGAAATATGGCTATTAAAAGTTAGAGAGTCATCAACGGTAATTCCCAGATCGTTCACTGAACGTTCACTCCTTATTGAGACACCAGAGATCCGAAATGGTATCGATGGGCAAGGGCCTAGGTGTAGATGTATTGTTTTCGATAAGTTGATTGGGAGTTCCCACTTGTCGGACCAATCCAGCATCTTTTGGATAGACAAACTCAAGCTTCGATGTGCTTCCACTTGCTCATTACTGCTATAAGCACAATAGATTCGGATATCATCCGCGAACATTTTTATTTCGACTCTAGGATGTACCTTGAGAAACTCTGGTAGGTCCGCCGTATACAGTAGAAAAGTAATGGAGAAAGAGCTCCCCCTTGGGGAACCCCACTAGGACACAGGTGACGAACCGAATACTCGTTTCCAAATTTAACGGTCATATGCCTTTCTCTCAGGTAGGAGTCTAACCAGGTGAGAACCTGGCCTTGAATACCGCATAGTTCTAGTTTCTTAAGCAGCTTACGGTGGCAGACCTTATCAAAAGCCTTAGTCAGGTCAAAATATATAATATCAACCGATTTACCCACATTGAGAGCTGTAAGCCAATCATAGAGTGAATCACATAGCAGTGAAGTAGTCGATACTCCAGGCATAAAACCGTGCTGCTGGGGTGGTATAAGCTTTCTTTCAATTAGCCAGTCCGGTAAGCTTCTCCCCAATAATCTTTTCGAGAATCTTACCCGCCACCGGGCAAATACTTATAGGTCTGAAATGCGAAGGCCTACTAGCAGTGATGATTTTCGGGATAGGGGTAACCAGAGCATCTTTCCATATCATTGGAACTTCCCCGTAAAGTAATGATGCATTCAAAATGAAAGCAATTGGATACTGAAGGGCATGACAACATCTTCGAAACACAACCTGGGGTATGCCATCATACGTTGCAGAAGAAGTGGCCTTCAATTTTTTCATAGTTCTTAGTGCATGCCAAGGATGAATAAACAAGTCTGGAAAGGTATTAGATCTTTCGGGATCAGGAGGTTCGTTATTTGGTGCAACTGGAACAGCGCACTGCTTGCATTGAGAGAACACGTTGGCGAAATACTCCCCAAAAGACATGGCTATTTCTTTATCTGAGTTCAAAGCGTGACCGTTTTCATCTACCATAGATGTAGGCTTCGGGCTGGCTTTAATCTTACCCCTGAGGTAAGAGAAGAAAGAGCTCTTATTACGATCTAGCAGACGACGTTCTAGATATGCCAGGTACCTTTTGGTGTGATATTCTATGTCTGAACAGACTTTCCTATAAAGGGTATTGGAGAGGGGGTTAA